TTCATTTTTTGTTACTTTGCTTCCTGCATCAGTTTTTTCCAAATGGTTTTTATATACTTTAGCCTTTCTTTGTATTTCTGTTTGCCCTAAAATACTTTTTGGGGGTCACATTTTAGGTAATGAATCTTGACTTATGGTTTTGCAACAACTCCCTGCATTTGAACCAAGCAGCAACCTCTAGCTCAGAAAAATCAAGCCAATACAGATTAGCCAAAAACTGCAGCTCTTGAAGTGGTCACTTGCAGCATGCTCCAAAAGTGAGTCATTCCCACATGGACTCTTGTCCATAAAATGCCCAACTTCATAGCAGAATTTTTTCACTGGTACAAAAAAAAAAGAAATCATTTGAGTAAATATATGGAACAGTTCGTGTGTGGTAGCTTTCAACCTGCTAGTCCTTTGTCTATCTCATTGCATCTGATCACTAGCTTGTTAGCAAATCTTCATCCAGCTCCTGTGTCAGCTAGCTTTCTACCTGTAGCAGAGTTGGCTAGACTTAGGGCTATTGGTCATCATATTAGCATAGCTCCTTGCCTGGCCCAGCCACTGAACTCACCGCAGCACCACAGGTCCTAGAAGTGGGCCTGCTGACCCCTAGCCAGTTCCTGCTCTTCCACCTCATACTCAGGAGTCTACTTTATTGTGGAGACCTGGTTAACCTTTTCTTTCAATGACATCCTGCCTCAGAATCAACCCATGCTAAACCCAGATTGTTTCCACAGCCAACACAAACTGTCCCAGAGAGTCTGCCTTCTTCCCTGTTGCTCAGTTTGAGTGCTACATCTTGCAACTGGTGAGTGCAGAGACTGTTCCCAAGTCAGTCTGACAGTCAGTCCGCCAGCTCCAGAGTCATCCCTCCTGATGGACCCTCAGGCTGACATCCAAGCTAAGAAGCATCCGCCCTCTCTGCTGATACCTGGCAGATGCCTGACTGCACTGGTTCCAAGCTTTCTGTTCCACATCCTGCCTGAAGTACTATGTCTGGCTCGCCAGCCTTAGAGACCTCCAGAGAGCTTCCATCTTTACTGCCAGTCTTCTGAGAGGTTCTATTCTCTCTGTAGTGTTCCTGCTGGGCCTTCAGATAGTCTTCTTCTCACCTCCAACCTTGGTCTTGCCTGACTACCCTACCACTAGGCCAACCTCAAAAGTAGCCTCTCCTGTTTACTGAGCCTCCTGGCTGCCCTCCAGAGTCGTCATCATGGTCTGACTGAGCTGAGTTGCTCCACCTAACTGAGTGTTTACCTGGGTCTTCCCATCCCCTTTGGAGCAATTGGCCCAGGATTCTTAGCTCCCATGTTCGTCTGCTGTTAGGTTATCTGTCCAAACTCTTAGACTCTTTATCTCCTGGATGCTTGGTTATTTTTCTTACTCTTTGCCTCTTTCTTCAGTTTGCCTGCATGGATTTTTGTGGGCTTTTGCCTGCCGACTGTATTTTGGCATGTGTGACTTACGATGAGTTTGAGTTTACCTGGTTGGTGTTTTCTTCCCACACATCCAGTAAAGTAATTAGTAAAACACACTACTGTTATCAGTTTACAGCTGAAGGCACACAGAGATGTCAACAGCGATGACTTAAACCAAGCTCATGTGTATTCTGGCAGTTGTAACTTATGCTGTGAAATTCAGTTTCTCCCACCAAGGATAAGAATACACTGAAGGAAATCTCTACACTTTATGATCCAGGTGGAGCCGTAATCCAGCCATGAAGTCCTCTGTGGTGCAATATAAAAATCTGCACAATAAATATCCAGCTGCTTAGAAACATCCTCTTAAATTCATTTGTAACAAAGCGATTTTAAGGAGTGGCTTTGTGAAGAATGAATGATCTGATTTTATTGCTCCTTTAAACAGTGTGGATTGGTAAATGGCCTGTATTTGTATAGCGCTTTACTTAGTCCCTAAGGACCCCAAAGCGCTTTATACTACATTCAGTCATCTACCCATTCACACACTGGTGATGGCAAGCTACATTGTAGCCACAGCTGACCTGGGGCGCACTGACAGAGGCGAGGCTGCCGGACACTGGCGCCACCGGGCCCTCTGACCACCACCAGTAGGCAACGGGTGAAGTATCAAGGACGCAACGACCGAGACTGTCGCAGCCGGGGCTTGAACCGACAACCTTCCGTTTATAGGACAAACTACTAACTCTTGAGCCCCGATTGCCCCAATTAACATTTCACACTTGCACTCACTAATAAATATAGAAAAGTGATCTTTATTATGAAAAAGACAACTCCCACAGCCTTCCAGTAGACTGCATGTGCACTACAAATGATGCTCAGCCTTTATGATAATGTGTGGACTCATACCCAAAACATCAGTCAGAGGCTTTTGTGAGTAAAAACCATAGGGTGCTCAGTGGTGTGATTACTGTGAGGATAATCTTTAACACACATGCTGTCTCAAAGGGGAGCTGTGGAAAGTTGGCTAAGAGTGGTCGGCCTTCCAGAAAAAACTGTAGGACACGCTGCTATTTTTATAAAGACCTCACATTTTATTTCTTTAAAAAAATGTTTGTGGTTTTTTTGTGGTACAAATTTGAATAAACTGAAAATTGAATAGGGTAACATAAGAGCATAAATACACACACACACGCTTATGTATCTCTCTCTCTCTCTCTCTCTCTCTTTCTATACACACACACACGCACACATACATACACACATATATACATACATATACATACATACATATATATATATCTATATATATCTATATATCTATATCTATCTATATCTATCTATCTATCTATCTATCTATATCTATCTATATCTATCTATCTATCTATCTATCTATATATATATATGTACATTCCTCTTTTCTTTTCTGTGCAGCATATGTAATGCATGATTCCGTTTCAGTTATATGCATCAAGTGGTCTGGGGGTGTATATCCAACAAACCTTTTCATCTTCTCTGTATATGAAAGACCATGTCATTATTATTACTTCCATGGTGATGATGATGTGCTATTCGCTCAGCACCAGAACTCTCTTGTTGTTACAGTTCAGTTACATTCATGATGTAGAAATTGAAGACGGATGGAGGATGAAAATTGATTTGTTCTGGTTCCTGTTTTTTTCCCCTTCCACTTTGTTTTGAGTGTGTATCTAAGAGTTTAAAACTTCTTTCATGCCATGCCGAAACCTGTACTCCATAAAGTACTGTTTTTCACATCTGTTTCTACCTCTGTAAAGAGAGAGAGAGAGAGAGAGATACAGAGAGAGGGAGGAAGAGAGAGAGCAACAGAGTCTAGTCTTATTCTTTTTTTAATGGAATTTGTTTCCAAGTTCATAAACATGGTGTGACAATGTTTGAATTTTATTTAATATGTTGAGGCATTCATCTTCTGCCTGGTCTCCAGAATCCTCATGTGCAAAATATATTGTTCTCAGGAGAAGCTAACAAACTAGCACAGAGACATCCCCTTTCCTGTCAGGGCATATCTGTTTGCCTAATCTACACAAACTTGGAGACTATGTTTCTTTACAGAGTTTAATCTTCTTAGAAGACATCTTAAGGCTGTGCAGTTGTTTCACTGTGTTGGTGACCTGCTAATTCGAATGCACTGTCAATTTCTTTCGCTTCTTTATTCTACTTTAGTTTGAATTGCTGAACAAAGCAGATATCAATCATTTTTAAATTTTGCAGTCACACAGATTTATTGATGCCATTATACAACAATCCACTATTTGATTATAGTGGACTCTAATTCACATTTTGAGAAATTCAGTAGCTTATATCTAAAAAACTGAAATTATATGTGAACATTGAGACTAAATTTTGATCATTTGTTCTAGTTTTATACCATTTAAATGTCAAATGCGTAAGCCTGGACATACAGTTTTCCTTGTTGGATGAACTGTGTTCTGGTAATAGTGTTTAAACTCACCTGCATTATATTGATTCCTTAGATGGGGAAAACCCCTCAAGGCCAGTTCTTTAAAGTGACCTTCCCCAGCTGGTTTTTGTCAAGAAGATAAACCATAGATGCTGAGTTTCCTTGAAAGCTGAAATATGAAAAGGCTGGTTCGGTTTAAGCGGTTGATGCAGTTATCAAAATTATACACTAAAAAGGCCTTTTTCCCCCTCAGGAGTCCAATCATTCCCCTCAAAACAGACGTCAAGTACAGACTTAGATGAGCTGCAGTTTCGGATTCACAATCATCTGAAAAGAATTTCAAACCCAACAAACCACGAGCACCATTAATATGAATTAAAGTTTATCTGGTGGCAAATATAATTTAACAAATACTAATTTGGAGAAATGCACTGCAATCAAAACCAGATTTAGATTTAGTTTTAGTTTAAACCTTTAGAATAATGCTGCTCTGCTTTTATTTCATCTTTGTACCCAAGAGGAGCCTTTAAAAGTCATTAGAGGCAATACACTCTTTAGATTAAAACATTTAGGGTGACAACTGACAGTCATCAAATTTTAGATCTGCTACAAAAAAATGTCTTTCCCAAGGCTGATCGCATGAGTCGCCCTCCTCCCCTAGGAGATTGAGGTACAGGTCTCTCATCACAGGGCAGTTCAGCTTGGTGAGATGGTTGAATGCGAGGACTTCATTAAGCCCCTCTATTGTTAACATCTGGGTTCAGAATGCCTGTTTTCTCTGGTAAATGTTGCCTTGGCTTAACAGGGGATTTTATTACAATATGCAGTTGACATTGGCAGCAGTGGCACGCCTGGCAATGGAAACTGTTCCGCCGGTTCAGGTCACAGGAGATCAATCAAAGCAGGCTGTTACACTGAAACCTTCAATTCTCAGCAGTACAGGGAGGTGAATGTGTATGTGAACTTGTTGAATCAATTAAGAAGAAAAAAATCACCAGCTTTCAAAGTGAAGGAAGCACCTTTTCCTAGCCTTTATTTTCTTTATTTCATTCATTTATTTTCCTTAAAAATAAAGGAAAATACTCCTCTGTGCTTAATTTCCTCTCTCGCTCTCTGGCCTCCTTCCCCCACTTCAGGAGATGTGGTTGTCATGACAACCGCTGAGTCATCCTCTACTGTAAGTAGCCATCCTCATATTTAATCTCTGCATGCAGCGAGGCCCTCCGCCATCCAGGCCTGCATTAGCACACGGATGCGACACATTAATTTGCTCTGGGTAGTTCCCGCGATCTGCGAAGGTTATTCCCGGAGAACACGGAGCTGCAGCGGGCTGAGCAGCAGCCACACGGATGGGTAACGTGCCCACCACAGTGAAGCACTGCCTGAGCTATGAGCAACTCATCGAGGACTACCCGTGGCTGAGACGCTGGCTGCAGGAGGACAAGGTGGGCGTCGGTTTTCCTTGTTTTTAATCAGCTGCACATGTTCGGCCACATGACTTCCTCATGACAGAGCAGAGAGGAGCACAACACAAGGCCACCTATGCGCAGATGCGCAGATGCTGCTGTAACTAAGGTGGTTAAAAGAAGAAGAAGAACATGCGAGTACCTTTTTCTCAATAAGAGTATTACGTTAGTATTATGTATGTTTGGGGTAATAAAATACACTCAATAGAATATGAATAGAATAAAATACAACAGAATATGAGCTGCCCCAGGCTTCATTTTCAGTTGTAATGTAGCCTATTAGAGGTAAAAGTAGTGTAAGTGAAAGAGTCCGCTCGATTTTATTCCTGCATTTTCAAATTTATTTTCACTTTTACTTTATAACATTTTTGTAATCCAAAGTATGAATATATTTTACAAATAGTTCATGCCTATCTGTAAAAAACGTACATTTCACTCATAACAGTTAAAGATATTGCAAGCTAAACCACATGCAGTACTGTGCAAAAGTCTTCAGTCAACTTTTGTTTCTGTATATGTGGTTTCCAAGTCTTTTATGTAATTTTTTAACTTCTGGGTTGCTTTTTCACTCATTTTCAGTTCAGTCCTTATACATAACCATTTTCAGAGGAATGTGTTTTGTTTGTTTGTTACACCACTTAACACTGAGCCATGCATTAAAAGACAGACAACTTAGTAAAGATCGAATTTTAGCTTAAAACTCTGCATGGTGTGTAGTGTAGCCTTAAAAAAATTGAGGAAACTAGTCAAGTGGATAAAAGAGGAAATGTCACACCTAGAAAAACTATCTATGGTAGTTAAACAGTGTCTGTTCCTCTTATCTAATTAGTCAGGATAAAATGTGGAAAAGAACTGACACAGGAACTGAGAGATACATCTGCCTCTATACTTAATCTATCTACTGTTCACTGAAGTCTCAGTGGAAGAGTGGCTGTACAACAGTCTGTTGTACCTGTCTCCTGTCTCCTGTCCAGCTATCTGTAAAACACGAAGAATCCTCTGTCATAGTTTGGGACTGGATTTCGGCCAATGGTGTTTGGGATCTTGTCAAAATTGAATTATGAACCCAGAAAAGTACCATCAGATTTTAATCCACCTTGCATTACCACCTAGAAAGGGTCTGATTCGGGAATATGTTCATTTTTCAAAATGACAATCATCCCAAATACACTGCCAGTGCAGTGAAAGCATACCTGCATAGAAAAACACACAGTGGAACACTATCAACCATGGATTGGCCTCCCCAGAGCCGAGACCTCAACATTATTGAAGCAGTTAAAGCAGTGTGGGATAATCTTGATAGAGAATCAAACAAAAGGCAGCCTACATCCAAAGAAGGGCTTTGAATGTCCTTCGAGAAGCTTGGAGAACTATTCCTGAAGACTAAAATAAATTACAAGAAAGCTTGTCTAAAAGAGTTAAAGCTGTGTTGAAGAATAAAGGTGATCAAATCAAACATTCACATTCAAGCTTGTTAGAATTGCACAAACACTGTTTTCGTGTAATACACTGTTTCCATGTATGTTTGCACACGTTTCAGCAAACAACTGCATCTATTTTCCATTTTTCTAGTAAAATATAAAGAAACAAGGGGTAGCTAGACACTTTTGCACAGTACTGTATATTTCTGAGCACAGTACTGTGTGCTCAGTTTGTTCTGAATAAATATTTGATATCTATCTTCCATAGATATAACACATTAGCTCTTTACCCCTTGAAAATTAACAAAGATTAGACTAAAAATTTAAACTGAGTGGATTCTTTCACATTTCAGGCCTGCTTGTAGAAGAGTTAAGCTGGGATATCGGTTAGCTTTCTTTGTTTTACTGCTCCCCACTGGAAAAAACTTAAATAGATATTTTTGACGGCTATAGTCAGATATGTGGTCTTCACTCTCTGCTTAAATATCACTGTTGCTAGGTTCATATTGTAATCTTTAAGGTCTGTTGAGGTTTTGCATTTAGTTAAACAAGGGTCTTTTTCTTTAAAATTATAAGGTTGAGATCAGGAAAAAAAAATACCTTGATCCTCAGAATATTCCTTGCGGTTTTAGTGGAGTTACTCTAACCCTTCTTCCCAGCCTTTCCTCTGTGTCACATCTCATGAGTTTGCATCTTAATGACATAGCAAGCTTATATTTGGGTTCTAAAGTTTCAGCTGGGTTGAGGTTGAAAGTTATTCATGTTAGAAATAACATGACCTGGAGCATCCCACGGTAAAAGGATGGCTGACTTCTCCGTGTTCTGTGTCTTGTTGAGCGGTGTTTCTCTTTTTATTTATTCCCCTCCCCCCCATTTGATATTTTCCCAGACAATTACAGGACATGCCTATCCAGAGTTTGTTAAAATTGTTGAAGTTGGGCCAAGAGATGGACTTCAAAATGAAAAGGTATACTCTGCAATTACAATCACAAACCTTATTTATATTTATGGGTACCTTTGTTTTCTAATACTATACACAATCCTCCCTGGAAACTCCCATTTTTTCTATACATATAACAATTCATAACATATGGGTTTTGTGCCATAATTGCTAGAAGCATATGTTTCACATTGTCTTTGAAATTGAATAGGAAAGATGACACAGCTTCTGGCTGAGTTCACTCTCTTTACCTACCATTTAGAGATTATACTGGATGGGGGGAAGTAATTTTATTTCTACAACATATTACCTGAAATTTGGCATTTAGCGAAGCTATCTCAGAGTTTTCAGCAAGTGCAAGATTGATCATGTCAAATATGGCTATCTGTATAAATAACACGCAGCACAGCAAAATACTAAGCCATATATCTGCTTGTCACATCTCCAACTGTATCATGAGAGGACTCAAATACAAAATAAGCTATTTCAATTTCATTGTTCTCCAGGAGATTGTTCCAACTGGGGTGAAAATCCAGCTGATAGATATGCTCTCAGGAACAGGCCTGTCTGTGATCGAGGCCACCAGCTTTGTCTCTTCAAAGTGGGTCCCACAGGTAAGAATTCTTCTTTTTGAACTGCAGTTAAATGCTGAGTGATTTATTAGGCCCTCTTTCTTGCTCCTCTAGCATCCTTGTTGGAGCTGGAGATGGTTTTGGAGAAAGTATTTTATTCATTTTCTCCTTCTCAATCAAATTGTACCCCTATTTACTACTTGGATACAAAGTCAGACGTTAACACGTGTCTCCTTTTGTACTGAGAAAAATGATAATTAATTTGATCTTTAATGCTGCCTTCAAACGTGTGAAAGCGTTTGTGAATTCCCAGGAACATGTTAATATGTTATTATGTTATTACCTTACCTATGTTATTGCCTGTTATGTTGTTACCTTTAACATCTAATTAATATATCTTCCTCCCTTTATTTAGATGGCAGACCACACTGATGTACTCAGAGGAATCCAGAGAGCATCTAATGTTCAGTATCCTGTTTTGACACCTAACTTGCAAGGCTTTCAGGATGCTGTAAGCATGAATTTTCACTTCAGCGTAATGACCTGTGCTATATACCTTTACTCATATAATTCATCATGTTTACTCAAGCTTGTCAGTTTAAGTTAACTGTTGGCACTACATTGTTTTTATTAAAATAGTTCCTGCACTTACGTTAGCGTGACTCACAGTGAACACGGTTTTACAAGTTTGTTTTCTCTGGCGATTTAAGGTTGCAGCTGGTGCTACTGAAGTGGCTGTGTTTGGGTCGGCATCTGAAACCTTCAGTAAAAAAAATATTAACTGTTCTGTTGATGAAAGTATGCTGAGGTTTGAGGAAGTCATTAACGCTGCCAAAAAGCGACAAATTCCAGTTCGAGGGTTAGTATTCTGCCTATTAATTCTCTGCTACAAAAATGAAAACAAAATGAATGAAATGAAAACAATTCCCTTGATTTCTGAGCTTCACACAGATTTTCACTTTTCCCCATAGGAAAACAGGGCATTTGAACATACTGCAGTTTTTATATAGAAGAAAACACACAGTTCGGTAATGATACTGTTATAGCAAAGTTCCAGATGTTCACCAGGACTATATCTATGCATTAGTAAACCACGAGGCCAGATGAGGTAAACCAAACAGGCTAACTTTTACTAATGTGGGCCTTTTATCATATCATGGAAATGTGTGTGTGTGTGTGTATAATATATATATATATATATATATGTGTATATATATATATGTATATATACACTTGTGGAAAATTGGGAAAAAAAGAATCATCCTATTATTACGTTTGTTTACGGTCAAATGTAATAACTCATTATGGTTATTTTTCATTGCATTTTCACTGTGTAACAATTGATTGTTTGTAT